ACATTGAAGATTTATTTCCTTTTATACGAACGTTGCCTCTTAAGGCGGAAAACGTCCGAAGCTTTGTGTCTTATTGCTGGCTAAATTTATGTTGGTAAAAGTGTTTGAAGTCTGCGCAAGCGAGCTCAGGGGTGTCCCACTACGGTGTAGTTGAGAAACGAAGTGTCCACCAACTACAAGTCCGTTGAAACTTTGGATACCAGAAGGGCGATAATGTCGAAATGTAAGTATTCATGTTTGTAATTAGTATTCGACTTTTCACTTCATAATGCCTGACAAATAGTACCTAGGGCATAAATATGCATCTCACCACAAAACAAGTCGCTAGAGTAATCAGAAGCCTACAATTGGCCGATGGAAAAAATAATATTTACGGTATACTGAAACATTGTTCCGAGTGTTTCCTTTAAAAGTCGAAGTAAATGAGTAAACGTCTCCGACAAAAACACACGAGTGCTCTAACAATATTGCGGTCTCCTACGCTCTCCCGGCAGTGCGTGCGCGTGTGCTCTCGCGGCCTTCCCGCCGTGCACTGCCGGCGCGTGTGGGTTCATGCCTGCTATGCGACACGGCGACCTCCAATTTGGCGGCATTTATCGCGCGCTCCGCGGGAGACGGGCAGTCAGGCCAACGCATACACGTTTCCCCCCATACGTTTTACGGGAAAAGGTCAATAAAATGCAATCGCAGTGCATGTCGGCGGCGCGCCGGGGCGGGGCGGGGCGCGGCAAAAAGTGATCGCTGGCAGAAACCTCTGAATGGCGGGCGTGCGGCTCACCGCGTGCGGGGGCGAACACGGCGCATTAAGTGCAATCCGAGTGGGAACGAGGCTCTGGGCGGTCGCAGCCGCAGCCGTGGTGGGGGAGATACACTAGTGGGGAGGAGGGAGTTGCGTGATGGACGTGGTACAGACACTGACGCTACTAACGTAATGGTGTAGGAGGGAGTAGTATGATGGTGTTGCGATAGTGCTAGTACTGGAGGGCTAATACTAGTAGTGGTGAGTAGCAGGCAGTTGAGGTGTGATGGTAGAGATGTAACGATGGAGGGGTGTGGTGATGGCGGCGGGTGTGCGTGATGGTGCGGGGTGTTATGACAGTGAGCCGTGCGGAGGGATGACGACGGTGCATTAGGATAGCGGGTGTGCGGTGACATGATAATGGTTACACACGCAGTGGTGGTGTAATTTGGCAGGTTGAGTAGTTTTTGTGGTGACGATGGCATACTAATGAATATACAGTTGGTGAAGTGAGAGTGAGAGCTGCGGTGGAGGTGTTGAAGTTATTTTGCATGGATGGTTATAGTGGAGATTGTGCATGTTGGGATTTGTGGTGGTGTGAAGACGGAGTTGAGAATTCGAAGGAAATGGGATACACAACTTCGGAGACGAATGTAATAAGAAGTGAGAAAATTACTATGTCCGAAGAACGTCTTGGACACAATACGTGAGGCGATCACAATAACACAGTAATTCTCACACATTACACATTGCTTACTGCCAGTGTTTAAATAGGATAACATATTTGGTCAATTCGAAATTTTCTGCATTTTGTAAATGTTTCTACAGTTCCTAAGTAAAGGAAATATCAGTTAAAATCTACTACTCATTGTCACTAGTACAATGCTGAAAGGTTAGGAAAAAATTATTTGTCATTTCTGTATACAAAACGTGCAGTTGAATTTCGAAGTAGTTTGTAATTTGTGTAGTGTTTAATCTATTTTTTTACGTAAACATGGCGAGAGACGAAATTGCGAAATAAACTGCGATAAATTGAATGCAGAAAGTCAGCTAATATTTTATTCAGGAAACTTATATGACTATATTTAAGACGAACCATTTTCCCGAAATTATTGCATTTATTAAATATGCATTACATTTATAGTTTCGATTTATAGTGTTCGTCTTAAATATGGCCATATAAGTTTACGGAATGATTGAATCTGACAAACAAGAAGCGTGATAGTAGTTAATATTTAAGTTTAAAGTTAATAATTGTAATTGAAAACTTAGCTGCGGAGTTAATTGGAGGTGAAAATTCCAGAAAGAAACAATAATGAGAGTGAACCAAGTGAAAATTGTTCGTGGGCAGTAGCATGATGGGATCTGAATAACGGAAACCATGCGAAACGCATTAACTGAAACACAAGTTACATTAGAAAATTGTCAGTAAAATAACTAAAATACTTTGAGACGGTCGTGAAAATTGTAAGAAAATGTATTCCCCGGCTAAATAAAATTATAACTGTTTAGGAAAAAAAAGAAAGAAATGAAAACGAACACAACGTATAGTTATGGAAAGAAGCTAATAGAATGGAGACCGGAATACACACAGAAAACATAGAATACTGGAAAGGACATTGAAAAATGCAACCGAATTTATGAACATTTATGAAGTGAAAGAGTGAGTGGATGAAGTGTGACAAATGGCTAAAGAAAACAGACGGGGTAACAGCAACGTAATGCAAAGATCTAGAACTTTCGAGAGCGCCGAATACACGAGACAGCGTCAGTGGAAATCGAAAGGTGAACGAGAAGAGAGAGTCTGGCAGCGGCGAGCAGGGTAGGGCAGGGTAGGGCAGGGCAAGGCAAACTCAACCAGGGACCGCAGACACCCCGAAGTCCAGGGAAAAAAGCGGAAGAGGCAAGTGAGAGCGGGGGGAGCGCGGGGTGCGGGTGCGCCCTGAGAGCGGGGGCGGGGCGTGCGGGCGGCGGCGGTGGGGCTGGAGCTGCAACGGCAGCAGCACACGCGCAGAACGCGGGCGGGGGGCGCGGGCGGGGAGCGCGGAAGAGGCGGGCCGCATGGGGCGCGCGGATGCGGCTCGCCCATAATAAGCGATGGGAGGCGGTCTGGCGGCGGGGGTATAAATCTGTCCAGCTGACCGCACGCCTGATTACAATGAAGCGAGCGAGCGACGCTTCTGCTGCCCGCGCCCCGCGCCACCCCCCCTCCGCCCCCTCCCACTTCCTCCCCCGCCACGCCCGCCGCCGCGCCGCGGCTGACCCGCTCGGCCGATCTGCCCGTCGCTCGGCCGGCCTGCCGGTTTCAAAACACTCACTGATTAATGGAATAATTAATAGGGATGTGCGCAGCTGTTTATGAAGTCCCCTTCCCCGGGCGCGATCGCGCCCCGCTCCCGCCCATCCTCGGGCGAGCTGCGGCTCCGGCAAAAAACAAACCGCGCGCGGGCAGAGGCGCGATTGCAATGGGCGCGAGGGCGAGCCGGCCTGGCCGGCCGCGGGCGCGAGCGCCAGTGGGGCAGCGGCCGGGGCGCCGGCGGCTCGCGACGCTTCAGCCACGCCCTCACAGGCACGCGCCTCTCGCAGGTGACGCACGCTCCCCCCCCCCCGCGGGTGTCCCATTTTCCTACATTTTCACCCAGAACGTAGAGAAGTAAAGCCGAAAAACCATCAAAAAACGCATGCAATGAAAGGCTAAAAAATGAGTCCAAAAGAAGATCAGAGGTGATGATCAGTAGAAAGCGGGTAAGAAGTAAACGAAACACATACGTTCCTAAATAACGTACGTATATATACGAAATAGTTTGCATATTTTTGTCACGATCTCGGGATAAAAACTGAAATAAAACAACTCGTATAAATGGGAAAATCACAAAAGAAGTTTCACTTAGCAGGTAGGGCCGGATTTATCTACAAGCAGTTGCTTAGGGCCCCATCCTCGAGGAGCCTCACCCTTCACGTGGAAAAATATGCAGAATATATTTTGTAATAAATTGTATTTAATGTAATAAATATATGTAAAATTTTATATACAAATTATTACTTTTCATTAGTACTTGTACAGAAAGAACTTGTACTAAGATACGTTTTTTATTTAATGAAGATGGAGCTATTTTACGAGATAAGGGGGGGGGGCAACACAAATTTGTGCTTGGAGCCACCGTAATACTTAAATCCGACCCTGTTCGCAGGTAGAGACATGTTTCATCGCATGCCAGTTATGTCGGTAAATGAACCACGTAAGCTTCCAGGCCACAGCCTCCGCGCCGCTGTTTCTTGCGAGCCAGCGCGAACGGGAGGAAATAAAGAGGAACACAACGGTGACGTACGAGCAAGAAGAGTCCGCTCTCTAACCTAATCGCGTGGATGGAAATTGCGGGGAAAGCCAGCTCTACTGCGATTTATTTACAGCTACCTCTGACAGGTCATCAGCTATTACGGTGTCATTTAAAGCTTATATCAGTAGGTGAATATCACGAAGGTGAAGTTGAAATTTCCGATTGGATAACAACGTAACAGCTGATTTACGTCAGAGGCAGCTCTTTATAAATCCATATATAGCGATTTCCTGTTACTATGCTTCAGTTTGCACATACCTTTAGCCTTACCCTTAGACAGCATTATAACACTCTTTTCCGGCTTCAATTCGACTATAAGCATTTAGTGTAAGTGCCTAGTATGTAATCCTCTTCATTTCTGTGCAGTTGTTGACGCATCTAATTGTCAGCGTAATTACTAAATGGAGCATTAGACGAGATACTAAACATTGCTAACTAGCACACACATTCCGGTCAGGAAGCGTAACTTAAGAAATGTGTTTTTTTTAATCATTTTATGCCATTTTGTCTCTGTAGAATCATTTTTAAACTGTTTTATTACTGCTTTCTAACAATAATTCATTTATTGGTTTCTCCGTTAAACAATAATGATGTTATATTATTTTATTTCGGACATTAAAATCATATATACCATACATAAGAATGTATTAGAATAATAGTTCAGAAGTACTAGTGTATGCAGCTTTTTGTTGTTTTTTAGTCATTATTCACTTTTCAAGGTAGTTCAATGGGTAAAACGCCCACTTAATTACTTGTTTCCTTGTAACTTAATCTTTTTAAAGAGATTTGGTCACAAAATGAATGGTATAAGGGGCACAATTTAATTCGCACTGTAATGCAAAGGTAGTAAACGAGGACGTTACGAAAGGCGTACTGTGGAGAACATCTGTTGGCGCAAATCTCAACCCTCAAGCGAACATTACCTGCAGCAGCCAGTAGCAGCGGCGGTGGAAAGTGGGCAAGATGGCCGAGTGCACGTAGCAGCCGTAGATGCACTGCAAGAAAAAATAATTCATCAGAAAAACGCACTACTCACAATAACGAACATTTATTATTAAAAGTTAACTCCCAAAACTTATTATTTAAGCTGGGAATGATTATCTCTCACTTGTTGTGGACACTTGGTCCTCAGCCTGACTCAGCTCATACTCAGAATTGATTGACTGACTGATTCACTGATTAGTGATTCAGGGCGTGTCAATTACTAAGGTCATTAGTTCCGTTGTGCTGTGAATGTCATACGGTGGTGGTGCTCCTCCCCGGTTGGAGGTGAGATCTGGTACCAATCTATACGTCGGTCTTTGTGCTTTAGTCCCTCCAGGTATCTCCCACCAGCAGAGTATAGCTCGACTGGGACAAGCTCTAAGCTTCCAGCTGGTGTAAGTCTGTGCTTGAGGGGAGAGGAGGGAGGAAAGAACGAGGAGGGACGGAGCACTCGCGGTACGTGGTCTCTTTGTTTTGCCTCTGTTGTGATTGATCAGCGCAGACGGCAGCTAGAATTCTCTTCCAGTCAGTGGTGGCGTTTCACAGAACGTTGAGAAAATGCTAACGTTGAGACTGAACCTAGGATCTCCCGGCCAACAATGCAGCAGAAACAAGGTTTGGCTGCAGAGATATCGAAGATCTTTTCCTCTTAGGTCTTTCGTATTCGTTTATTACCTTCCGAAACGAAGTTGCGTCTAGGATTTCATCATACACACTTAGTACCATCAATTCCAAGTAGTGAATGCCGCAAACGCTTGGGTTTAGAAACACTGCTGAATGGCATGCCTCTGTTATCAGCAACGTGACCGCTGCACGTGATATTCTTTTATAATATAATGTTGATACTTTTCAACGTTCCCATTGATATATTCAAAATACAGATACGGTTACAATTATTAGTGTATGTATCAACTGAGTTTAGCTTAAAGCCAGAATTGGATTTTCGACACTAGCTTTCAAATCTTCGACGAATTCAACCTCCAACCGGAGAAAAATTCTAACTAGCGGCCGGTTGCTCTGATCAGTAGTTTTGCGTTGTTTCTCCGATCAAATACCAGGTAAATGCCGGAGCACGCCAACAAAGGGCCGGAGCAGCACGCCAAATTTTTTCAAGTCCTATCCTCTCTCCTTTACACACACTTATACTTCCATGCACTACTCTACCACACATTTCAGAACAGTTGGGAGTTTAGATCTTGTCCCGGTTGGGGAGGTGCCCCGCCGTGGAGATACCTCGAATGGAAAATACCCTGCAAGCTGACGTGTATATCGGCAGCGGATCTCGCCATTCCGTATGGGAGGAACATCGCCACTTCCCGGGACAAAAATTCACTACACTAACGGGATTAATGAAAATAGCAGTTTTTGGGTCCCGAAACATCAATCAATTAGTGTATCTTTTATTTCTATTACCGCACAATGTCTATAAAAACGGTGTAGCCACTTCTAGGAAAGTGTCTTACATATTACAGGAAAACTATTTTACACATTAGAGATCTTTTAAGTTCATGAAAGACTTATAAATAAAGATTACCACAAATATGTATTTTCCTGAACACGTAAGATTATTGAACGGAACGAGAAGATGACCATACTTTATGAAGGAAATATGAATGAAATGAACAATAAATGAATGTGGAACACGTTCTCTTACAATAATACTAACACTTAATATTACAAATTACATTTCACTGAACCACTTTTAGTTCATCACTGAAAGTGTTAGATGTCAGATGGTGTAGGGGAATGGCTTAGTTAAATCATCAAATTTTCTTTTTTGTAAAGTTAACCGTAGACACAATTCACATTCAAAAAGGAAGGAAAGATAGGAATACTGATAACAACAACCCTCTAAACCGACACTCAACAAAATAAAAACGTTGGTCTTAAAACCGCAATTACAAGAGTAAAAAAGCTACTGCTTCATTTCCTGAATCCGACAATTACCGGACTCAAGTTGCAAGCTCCGAGTCCATTATATCAACCGTCGGTCGAGAACAGAAAATCCACAAGGCTGCCCCCGATATGGCACATTTCTTGAGCAAAGGAAGAAAGTTTTCGAATTGAAGCGCAGGAAACGCTAACGTAGAACGCGTTCCCGCCCACGCTGTGCGGACCCTGCCACTCCCCCCACTCCTGCCCCGCCTCGTCCTGCCTCGCCCCGCCCCGTTGCGCGGGCCTCTGCGGCCGAGCCGTGCACAATGTGGTGGCGCGCGATATTGCAGGGAGCATCCCTCCCCTCCCGCGCTCTCCCACAGCCCCCGCGTTCACCTCTCCCGAGCACCGTGCAATGGGCCTAAGTCAACGCATAAAGTACGCACAGCTGTACTCGTAGAGACATTAAAAATTGCGGAGTTAAGGTGGGAAATGTCGGGTGTTTATTTCATCTTTCGCCGAAGATAACGCGCTGCTTCGCCCAGCGATAGAGCTTTAAGTTCCACGAGAACTTCTCAACAAGGCCCGTTCATTGGGCGCGTTCGTCGTTCGGTGCGACTGGCCGGTACACCCGTGTCCCGAGAGCGATAAAGTGTACATCATGAAATTTTCTCTGAAGCAGACAATATTTGAGGCGTTTATGGTTACTTTCAACAGGCACTTCGTACCTTAGACCACTGCTCCCACTGCTGTTTGAACCATGAACTTTTTAAATAATGTTTACAGTGGCGACGGAATAATTAGTCGTGGGTTATGGGTACCTAGCTCATCTGATATGACTCCTTGTGACTTTTTCCTTTGAGAGCACTTGAAGATTAGGTGTATGCAGATAACTCGCATTTGGAGAAAGAGCTCCGGAGCTCTATTGAAGAGAAAAGCACAGCAGTTCATCGAAACACTTCAAAATCAGAATATGTTCCGGAGGTGCCAGGAATGCATTCTAGTACCATTTGAACATTATACAAGGACACTACATTCAGCATCTTTTTTAAGGTATGTTAAGCGGCGCAGCGATAGTACTCGTACGTCAGCACGGGAGTTGAGCCAGCGTTTCGCTGGGCGAATGAGCCCTCGACTGCCCAGGCGATGTGGCCCGAATCTTCGACGAGCGATAAAATGAACACACTGTATATACCAATAAAACTTAATTCAACATGTAACCAACATCGATGCCACAAAAAGTAGCATATGAATAGTTACGGAACTTTTGCAGGCTCTTCTTCAGGATTTTCTCTAGTGCATTTTTCTCCTCGGGAGGTGGCGGTGATCTTCCCTCGCTGGATAAATATATCCGACACCAACCTAATGTCGGTTAGCGGGGCTTTCCCTAACTAACTATCTCCCGCCAACGGGGCACCGCCCCAGCGGGGACGAGATGCAAGTTCCCGATTGGCCTCCTGTCAAGTGCGGTACTGTAGTGAATGTGTGTGTGTGTGTGTGTAAGGGATGAAGATAGGACAAGAAAGAGGTAGGAAAGATCGCGCGCGGTCCGTAGCCCGTTTGATAGAATACTGCTCAGGCATTCGCCGGTTGATTATCGGAGAAACCACGGAAAACAACTCATCAGAGCAGCCGTCCGCTAGAATCACCTCCAGACACCGACTGAATTCTACTTAGCTGACAAACTAGTGTCGAAAATCCTGGCACCATCGGATCTCGAACCTAGAACATTCCGGTCAGAGGGCAACAATGCAACAAATAAATAAATAAAATTACAGAGTTGGGGGTAAGACACAACTTGTAAATAGTAAGGAAAAGATTACTCCGGGTTTCCTTTACAGGACATCAAAAAATAATGACGAAAAGTACTATAACACTTGCAGCAGACAAATTCAAGGTGAGAACAAGTTTCCTACTTTAATTAGAAAGAACGCTGTGTACATATAACTATTTCGTGTAAATCCAGATGTATGTCCAATTGCAATTCATTGCACGCACAAAGAGAAATTTCCTTTATGCGACAAAAAGAGTAATTGCTGAAATGAACAATAGTGTGATTTTTATGGACTACAGACAGCTGTTTTGCAGGAAAAAGACAGAATACGCATTCGAGAAAATAATTTTTACTGAAACTACGTTTAGCTAATAGTAAGCAAGGAACCATAAAACATGCGTCCGCAACGACGAAAATATAAACATAAAATATTTCTATTAGAAATCGATTTCCCTCTAGTTTAAAAGGTGACATTTAACCACATATTTGCATGAAATAATAAAAAAATATTAAATATAAAATATGATATCTCCTAAAAATGTGTGAAAGTCCTTAAATCCTATATAAACTAATAAGTAGTAGAGATCGGGTATCCTAAATGCGTCTGTCCTTAATTTCGGTCGTTAATTTCGTAAATCGCTCTACATCTGTCACCCACCATTTGGGGCAAACGAGGTGTCACTCGACTCGTCTCGCTCTTCTGATGGGAAACTTACAATTGTTTCGTATATTTCTAATATAACTAAAAACCTTGAAGTAATCAATGAATAAAGTACTTTAAATTTTTTAAAGCGTCTGAAATGTCATAGTTATTTCATATATTTACAATGTTACAATGCATTAGAATAATTAAATTCAATCACAAATCTGCAAAAGGATACATGATATTTAATACTGACGAATTATTTATTCGTATTGTTTTATATCAAACAATATTCCAATACCAGAGACAGAAGAACAGAGAACAGTAATACGAAACCACTTGGGCAAATTGCCTCCCTCTCCCACACCTCATTAGTAAAACTGTTTCATGCATCTCTCTTGAAGTTATATCTCTTTATCTAAACCCTGAATGTATTCTGAACTTCTCCACAATTTCCGAAGACGAAAAAATACACATAATAATTTTTCCTGATTCACTTTCCCCACGTTTCGCAGAGTCGAAAGCTGCGTGGACGGTCCACAGTGGAACTGGGCGGGACGGGGACAAACGCAGCGGATCGGATAGGGGGCGAAGAGGGGGTGCGGCAACGTGGGCGAACCCGCGGACACTCAACAGTGCCCCCTTTCCCCCTGCCCGCCTCTTCAGATTCATAAAACTAAGTGATATTAAAAACCATTCAGAAACTGCGACTCGGCGCT